ATTTAATTTCTGCATAGTTTTCTATTGACTAAAGTGTGTGTGTGTATTCTGTCAATTGTGTACATCTAGGTGATTAGTGTTCATTACTGCTTTGAAATAGCTTGCATTACAACAAACACCTGTCTTACTATGAAAGATCTAACACAATCCCAAGTTTGTTACAGAAGCAAGCAGTTTGTCCTGATTCCTTCTCTCCAGTGGCACCAGTGTCTGGGTTAAGAAAGTAAAGAGCAGAAGTGCACATGGCTATGCATTGCTTAGCCTATTGTTATACTAACTACTCTCAATACTCTGGGGTGGAGGAGGAAAGCTGGGTGACATCAGCACACCTCACTAACACTTCAGTTGTGTGAAGTTCCATTCATATGAATAATCCATGAGTGGAACTTTTCACGTTTGGTTAACATTATAACAAAAATTCTGTGACTCTTGTAGTTGCAGGCAAGAGGTGAGATGTGAGGGATGGTATAATTTGCATAAAATCAAAGGAAATTTGGTTGAACCAGCACCACTCCACCATCTTATCAGGCAGAAGACATAATTTATATGGCACTGTGGGACACATTTAACAGCTCCAGATATTAAATTTCTGACACAAACTCATAACAAGCCACATGGCTTTCCTCCCAGTTGATCCCCATTTGACAATTTTGCTCTGAACTAGTGAGTTGTCCTTCAGCTATATTGTTTTAATGTTGTTTGTATATTGCCTAACAAGGAACTAGGTATGAAAATTATTTTGCTCTGCACTAAATTTTGAAATTATGAAAGCATTTGTAGCTTTGAATTGAAGGACATTCTTATGAGGGTGCAATCTTCTGGATCTGAGGGAACAGGAAGGGGGGAGAGCATTGGAAGTGGCAGCCGTTGAGGTAGTGCTGGGTAGGGGAAGGAATGGTGGTGGTGGGGAGAACAAGCCTACATAGGAGAAGAGAGGTTAAATATCTTACATCTATCCCCTCTTCTAGTCCTACCCACAAACAGATAGTATCAGGTGACCATATCAACAAACCCTCGAGCCACACGGTTCTGTTGATGAATGCCAGGTCAGTACAAAATAAAACTGCCCTCATCCACGATGTAATTCTGGATGAGGGGGCTGACCTGGCGTGCATTACTGAGACCTGGGTGGGAGAGGAGTGTTCCCCTCTCCCAGCTGTGTCCACCTAGGTACTCGGTCCAGCATCAATGTTGCTCAGAGGGTCAGGGAGGGGGAGTTGCTATAGTCTATAGGAGTTCTATATCCTTGACCAGGCTTCCTATCCTTTTGAGAGGAGGTCTTGAGCTTACGAGACAGATTGGGGATTCTGTTGGTGTACTGCCCAGCCTGCTGCATACCAACAGTCTCCCCGCCTGAGCTGACAGAGATAGTCTTGGACCTAGTGTTGAGGACTCCCAAGCTGTTGGTGCTGGGGGACCTCAACATCTATGCCGAGGCTGACTTGACTGGGGTGGCTCAGAACTTCATGGCTACCATGACAACCATGGGGCTGTCTCAATGTGTCATCGGCCCGACGCATGAGAAGGGCTATACCTTGGACCTAGTTTTCTCAACGGGACTGGAAGATAGTGGTTTGGATGTGGAGGGGGTGGTTGTGACCCCACTGTCATGGTCAGACCACTTCCTGGTCAAGTTTAGTCTATTAGCTTCTTCTCCCCTCTGCAAGGGTGGGGGATCTATGAAGATGATCTGCCCTCGGAGACTAATGGATCCGGATGGTTTCCTGAATGCTCTGAGAGATTATCTGTCTGATATGGTCAGCGCTTCTGTCAAAGCTCAGGTCACCCTATGGAATAGGGAGATGACCTGGGCGGTTGACACGATTGTGCCTAAGCACCCTCTCCCTGCACGCAGAGCCCAGACAGCTCCTTGGTATACTTCTGAATTATGGGCGATGAAACGAAAGAGGAGACAGATGGAGCGCAGGTGGAGGAAATCCCACTGGGAGTCCAATTGAACACGACGTAAGAGTCCATTATCGGGCTTATTTCATGGCGAAACGGCTGGCAAAATGGCAATATTTCTCCAGCTGTATTGCTACCTCAGAATGTGGTCCAGCAGAGCTGTTTCGGGTGGTCCGGGATCTTCTTCAACCGAGAAATCAGTGGAGGTCCCAGACTGCTCATCAGCTCTCTGTGATGAGTTTGCCATCCATTTTGAGGGGGAAATCGCTCAGATTTGCAGTGGGTTGGACTCCACCGTTACTGCAGAATCAGAGGATGTGTCCAGTGTACCGTGCTTAGGTCAAGTATTAATGAATGAGTTTCAATTGTTGAGACCTGAGGATGTGGACAGGGTGCTTGGATCTGTCCGTTCTACCACCACTCCGCTCGACCTTTGCCCATATTGGCTAACTGGAAGATCTGCTAGGGGGGTTCGCACCTGGGTCCAGGAGGCCATGAACACCTCTTTGAGAGAGGGAGTGCTCCCTACCACATTGAAAGAGGTGGTAATTCAGCCACTTCTAAAAAAAGCTTAACCTGGACCCAAGGCTGGTGGTTAACTATCAACCAGTGGTGAACCTCCCTTATTTGGGCAAAGTGTTGAAGTGGATTGTGGCTGGGCAACTCCAGGCACTGCAGGATGAGATGAATTTTCTGGATCCACTTCAATTGGGTTTCAGGCTGGGTTTTGCTACAGAGACTGCCTTGGTCACCCTGTACAATGACCTTTGCCGGGAGAGAGACAGGGGAAGTGTGACCCTGTGATACTCCTGGACCTCTCAGCGACTTTCAACACCATCGACCACGGTGTCCTTCTGGATAGGCTGGCTGGGTTGGGAGTTTGGGGCACCGCTTTACAGTGGTTCCACTCCTTCCTGGCTGACCGTGTCCAGAGGGTGGTGCTGGGGGATAGTTGCTATGTCCCATGGCATTTATGTCATGGGGTTCCTCAGGGCTCGATAGTGTACCCCATGCTGTTTAACATCTACATGGAACTGCTGAGAGAGGTCATCAGGAGGTTTGAGCTGAGAAGTGAGCAATATGCTGACGATACTCAGCTCTACCTCTCGTTTTCCACCAATCCAGGTGAGGCGGTTTCTGTGCTGAACTTGTGTCTGGACTGGATGAGGGTAAATAAATGGAAACTCAATCCAGATAAGACAGAAGTGCTGTTAGTGGGTGCTTTGCCAAACAGGCTGGAGGGCCATTTCTCTGGCGTGAATGGGGTTACACTCCCCCTAAGGGACAGGGTCTGCAGACTGGGGGTGCTCCTAGACCGCAGTCTAACTCTGGAAGCCCAGGTGGACTCGGTGGCCAGAGGCGCCTTCCTTCAACTGCAGAAATTATACCAGCTACGACCCTACCTGGACGAGCGGAGTCTCATGACAGTTACACATACACTGGTAACTTCTTGTATAGATTATTGCAATGCGCTCTAGGTGGGGCTGCCTTTGAAGACGGTCCAGCGACTGCAGCTGGTCCAGAATCGATCTGCGCAGCTGGTGAGTAGTGGGGCCGCTAGGGGACACATCAAGCCGATTCTGTTGCCCGGGCCCAATTCAAGTGCTTGTATTGACAGATAAAGCCCTAAACAGCTTGGGCCCTTGATACCTGAAGGACCGCCTCCTTCCATATGAACTTACCCGGCAGTTAAGATCTAGCCAGGGGGCCCTTTTGAAACAGCAGTCCCTCAAGGAGGTAAGAGGGATGGCTTGTAGACAAAGGACCTTTCAACAGCTGCCCCAGACTATGGAACGCCATTCCAATTGAGATTCGTCTGGTGCCGACGCTGATGACTTTTCAGCACCAAGTCAAAACCTGCCTGTTCCAGAAGGCTTTTAATTAAAATAATATCAACTATGGGTCCTGATGGCAATATTTAGAGTATATATTTTAATTGTTTTATCTTTTTTACTGTATTTTAATTGTTGTAAGCCAACCAGAGACCTTTAGGTAGTGTGGGCAGCATATAAATAAATAAAATAAAATTTGTGCAAAAGAAAATATATAATATTAAAGCATACATAATGTATGTATGGAAAAGTGTTTCCGAAATGGCATCGTTCTTAAGCACTTTATACTGTATCTGGCCAAAGGGTTGTACATTAATTATGGCCCCACATACAAAATGCGATGTGTTTGCTCCTCGTAACATCTGCACAGTCCTGTCTTCTCCCCCAGGCATCCGGATCGTATTCATCAAAAAATAAGTTCCCTTCGTGCTGAATGAAATTTATCTTCTAGTGAAGTTTGCTATGAGCAGACTGCCTGGCTGCCATCCAACGCACAATTTCGTGGGAGTAAGATCTTGTGAATTCAACGGGGGTTTACCTCAGACGAAGCATGATGAGGGACAACCGTGGAGTGGGCCGGCGAGGAAAGGAAAATTAAGAAGCAAAGCAGAGACGCTCTCAAGGGAAACACTGAGGGTTGAAGGAGGGAAGGGAGAAGAGGATAAGGGGAAAAAAAGGAAGAAACCGTGGCGAAAAGTCTGGGAGAGGGAGGGGAGGGGAGGCGAGGGGGCACGGAGAGAAGGAGGCCCTTGTTTGGGGCTGCAGTTGCCGCTCTCAGTCAACAGGTTGCATCGTTCCCCCTCGGCTGCCCCGCAATGCGCGCACTCGCCTCGCCTCGCCTCGCCTTCCCTTCCCCTGGACGCGCTCTCTGCTATGCCGCCGTGCCTCGCTGTGCTGTGAGGCGGCCGGGCAGAGAGCGCCGTGCCTGCTGCTGCTTCCCCTCGTACGCGCGCCTCAGTGCCTCGTTCCAAGAGTAAGGGAGGGAGGCGGGGAGGGAGGGAGAGAAAGAGCGAGCGAGCAGGCGAAGGAGGCGGAGGCAGCCCCTGCTGCTTGCGCCGTCGCTGTCCTCCATTTTGTGGCTGGGGCGAACCGTAGAACCGAGCGCAGACGGAGTGGCTGGCGGGAGGAGGAGGAAGACGAGGGGGGGAGGAGGAGGAGGAGGAGGAGGGAGGGAGGAAGAAGGAAGGAAGGAAGGAAGGAGGGAGGGCGGGACGCTCAGTGGGTGTGAGGGGCAGAATGGAGAGGGGGGGTGAAGGGAGTGGGGGGGAAAGGGGGCTGTAATTAGTCGAAGGGGGCAGAAGGGTGTGTGGGGAGGGGAGACGGGCGAACGAGGAGCAGGTGAGGGTTTCTTCGGTGGCTGTCGTGGTGCTGCCTGCCTGCCTGCCTGCGTGTGAACAGGAGGAAGGGGGGGCGGCGGCGGCGGCGGCTGCTCGCTTTCCTCCTCCTCATCTGCAAAGGGGCGGCTGCTTTTCACCCCCCTCCGCACCCCACCCCCCAATCCCGTTGCCCCGTTACTCTCCCTTCCTTCCCAGTCCCCACCGAGTTGTTTATTCGCTTCGGGTTCGTGCGGGAGCCATGGAAGTTGGCGGCTAAAGGAGACCCAGCGCCCCCACTGGATAAGGTAAGGGGGTTGTCTCGATCCATGTCTGCCTGGCCGTCGGGGTAGGGTGGCTACTTTTAGGACCCTTCTCTTCCTTAGGGCGGTGCATAGCGGGGGACCTGGCGGCGGCGGCGGTAGTAGCACCGTCGGTGTGCTTTTTTTTTTCCGTAGAGGTCACCCTCCCTTCCCCCCCAATCATCCTCAGTAATGTCTGCCTCGCCTCGCCTCGCCTCCCTCTTCCCCGCCATAGCCGCCGCCGCCGCCAGCGCTTCAGACCAAGCGCGTCGTGACTGAGCCGTGAGGCCAGATCAGGGTGGGAGTCGCTGCTGGCGAGGTGTTGCGTCTTCCCAAGTTTAAAGCCGTCCGCGTTAAATTTGGACTTGAGAGAAGGTGTGTGTGTGTGTGTGTCGGTGTCTCTGTGTATATAGGCGCCTAAGGGGCGTGTGTGTGCGTGCGCGCGTGAGCGAGCAAGCGAGACACAGACAGACGAGAGATTTGCTATCCTATTTCACAACCATCTTTGGCTAATTTTAATCCCATAAAATATAATGTCCAGAATAGTCTCTCCTTTCAAAAAAAAAAAAGCCTTCAAAGTTCCCTCCCGTGGCCATTTATCGGGCAGTGAGTCACGGAACTCAGGAGCACTTACTTCTGAGTAGACGTGTGTAGAATTGTATTGTAAAAGTATCATAAATCTTACGTAAGCGATTGAACACCCCCCCCTTTTATTTCCTGCAGTGGGAAAAAAAGTACTTAGGACTTCTAAGGAAAGTACGTGTTTTGTTGGCAATATTTTTTTAAAAAAATCCACTTGAAGTTCCCTCGCCGCGCATTTCCCTGCGTTTTTTTTTCCTAATTATTTGGCGGGCCTGAGGGATTGCAAACAGACGGGGAGTTGAAAAGTCGGAGTTGGAGGGGTTTTTTTTTTCCTAAGCAAAGGGTTGGTGTTATTTTGCAGAAGTGGGCGTGTCAAGCAAAACGCTCAACAGGTCCCGACACATTTTTTTCCCTCATAGGGAAATATTTTCTAAAAGTAGAAGGATTTCATCTCCAAACAACCGTGCTTAAATATCCTCAGCTTTTTATTCCCCTCCCTAGTCCGCAGCTCCATCACGTGATAATGTTCCCCCCTTTGGCTTTGCCTGTCATGTAATGTCTTTTTTGTCTGCTTGCAAGAAAGAAACTTGTCAAATGTGGTAACTCCAGTGTCCCCTCCCTCTTCAGAACTGTGTTACTGTGGGTTTTTTTAAATAAAAAAAAATTACATGATAGGGCCGTAGTTCCAAAAATATATTCGTTTTCACTTGCAAGTTTTAAGGACTGTTGCAGGATGGTTCTGTTGCTTATGTATGATGGCCTTTTGTTTTGGTATACGAAGGAGGTGCCTGCAAAGCTTCTTGTCATTTCACAAAGCACACTTTTAAGCTTTCTGTGTTGGAAGAGGATCTCATTTCTCAGAAGGGACAAAGGAGAACTTCAATGAAACTACACAGAATTATGAATTGTTTTATTTAAGAGTACAGTTTTCTTAGTGATTTATGAGATTGACCAATACCTTTTTGACACCTGGTGATGCTTGACATGGAAAATCAGCGAGTGATCAGAAATACAACTGACTTGTACCTGCATAAACATTTTAAATGTTTATCATAGCCAATTTTACCTATTTTTTCTTAGTGCAAGAGGGAGTGAGGTCTTGAAGTTTTGTATTTTTAAAATGAATGCATTTTCCCCAATTTTTTTCAATTATTTATTTTAAATACAGATTAGGTGGTTGCTATTGCACATTCCTTAAATATAAAATAAAAGAAATTTTAGAAATCATAAAGGCATGTAGGGAGCTCATTATTTATATTTCCTCCCTTTAAAAATTGCTCACCTGTTTCTTCTTGTAGTATTTGAAACTAACTGTGGTTTTGAGCCAAAGTAATATATTTATATATTGGTCAAATTTAGAATTTAAAATATAAACACTATATTTTCAAATTATCTTGGTAAACATTGTAGTGGGTAAAAACTAATTGGGAAGTTAGCAGGCATACCAGACACTGTGGTAATGTCTGAGGATTTTTTTCCATAGTGGAAGCTGCTCATTTAGCATACAGAAAAACCTGGATGATGTGTGGGTGTGGAAGTTGTGGCATCGTAGAATTCTTGTAGGTACATAGGCAGATCATCAATATACTTTACTTCAGTGACAAACGTAGCTTGGTTATAGTAATATTCTTCTTCATCAGTGCAACTGGGTTAAATATACTTTTGTTAAATTCTAAATTGAGAACGATCGCTAGCCTTTTGGATGGATTGCTTAGAAATCTGTTCTGGAATCTCTCCAGGATATGCTTGCTTTTAGCCATTAAGGTATAGCTTCAGTCAGCACTTCTGATGTGCTAATTAATGTTGAATATTTTTCTTCCTTTATAACCAGTATTAAGATCATGGAGCCCAAAGAATCACTGAAGTCCCCAGGAGGGAAGGAAGGAGGAAAAAGTGCTCACTTCCGTGACAAAGGAGGGATTGTAATAGACTTTAATCCATCCTTCAGGGGTGGTGCTGCTGTCAAGACTCTTGCATCTACATCTCCCCTGCCTGCCTCTTCTCAGTCTGACTCCACGCAGCAACCTGTTCTGTGTGATTTGTCAAAGGGATTAGGAAGCAATGTGCCGCAGCCAGATCTCTCCAAAGCAGTGTCGCTCTCAATGGGATTGTATATGGGTGAAACAGATGCAAAAGTGATGGGAAACGAACTTGGATTTCCTCAGCAGGGCCAAATCAGCCTATCTTCAGGAGAAACAGACTTGAGGCTCCTTGAAGAAAGCATTGCAAGCTTGAATAAGACCTCAAGCCTGGGAGAAGGCTCAAAGGATACCACATCTATCGATGTTCCCCTAGAAACAGAATTTCCAAGCATGTCTAGTCATGATCTCACTTTAGATCAAGGGGCTTTAGCACAAGGCCAGGTTGGCACTAATGGTGGCAACTTGAAGCTGTTTTCTGAAGACCAAAGCACCTTTGATATTTTGCAGGATTTTGATTTGCCACCAGTATCGCCAGGAAAAGAAACACATGGAAGCCCTTGGAGAATGGACCCTGTGCTGGATGAAAGTAGCTTGCTTTCACCTCTTGGAGATGAGAGTTTTCTCCTTGAAGGAAATGAAATGGAGGACTGCAAACCTCCCATTTTACCAGATACAAAGCCTAAAATTAATGAGAGTGGGAATATTTTGCCCAGCTCAACAGTGCAGATGCCACAAGTGAAAACTGAGAAGGAAGATTTTATTGAACTGTGTACCCCTGGTGTGATAAAGCAGGAGAAAATAGGCAACATTTATTGTCAGGCTAATTTCTCTGGGTCAAGTTCGCTTGGAAATAAAACATCTGCCATTTCTATTCACGGCGTCAGCACTTCTGGAGGACAGATCTACCACTATGACTTGAATACGGCATCTGTCACTCAGCAGCAGGATCAGAAACCTGTTTTCAATGCCATTCCATCTCATCCTGCTTGTTCAGAAAATTGGAATAGATGCCAAGGTTCTGGGGATGATGCTCTTACATCAGTGGGGGCTTTGAGTTTTTCTGGCAGATCTGTCTTCTCTAATGGGTATTCAAGGTAAGAGAAGTCCTTGTTTTAAATTTATTACTTGAAAATGCTGGCTTTTCTTTCCATTAAAATAGATTATTAATCACATATGCTTTCTGTGTCTATGTTAATGCACTGAGGTGCAGGAAGTACTTTTAGAAATCAAATTTGACATAAAGTTTTATGTATTAAATTCAGCTGGTAAACTCTCATATCTAGGATTTGCAATTTTTTTCTTAGCAGAAGAAAGTCAAATCAAAGCTTTGGTTGAAGAGAAAATCAGGAAAATCTTGTAATAGCTTACAGAATGATAGGGCGCAGTAATCATTGTACCTATTGATTGTGTTTGTATCAGAATTTTCATTAGAAAGTATGTTTTCTTAATTCCATCAGTATTTTTTCCACATTTTAAAAGCATAGAACATGGTGCCATTAGTTGAGAATAATTCACTTTCCATCTTTCATTTTCCTTCAGATTAATTTTTCATTGGAATATTTATTATGGGCATGTCTTAAAGCCTTGTACGGTGCATATTTTCATAATGTCTCACTGAAATCCCTTGAACTATTCTAATGCATGTCTTTTTAGGATCCAACTTTCTGTTCTATGACACTTTATTTTCTTATGCTGCATGATGAAGTTGAGGTATCTGTCTGTATTTCATTTACGTGAGCTAATTAAAACTTTATTTTCTTTTGCATAAATATTTACCTTCGTGGTATATGTAATTTTGTGTAATTTTGTGTTTTATCTTGGACTAAAAATCAGTTATTTGTACATGTGTAATTTATTCTTCAAAGATCTCCTGTTTCTTCCCTCTTTCCACCTGGGATGTGTACATAAGGGAGATATGAAGCAGCAAACTAAGAAATTTAAAAAGAATGGGATGCCTACACTGATCTCCTGTTCCCTATAATGTCCTGCATTCCTGCATGCTGCTATTGGAAAAAGGAAGAAATTGGATTTTGTTCAGCCAGTTTGAATTCCTTTGTAGACATTGAGGCCTAGTTCCCAATGTGACACTGGAGCTGAAGTACTACCAAGACAGAACTTTGTTTCTTCTCCACGTGCAGTTCTTGGAGCTCCCTGAGAACTGACTCTGGGGGGGTTTCCTCCAGAGCATTTTCTTAGAGATGCAGGAAGGCTGCAATGTGAAGGAGTGGTTGCTTCCCTCTGGTTTCTGTTGAATTTCATTGTTCTGCCAATGGAAGTCCAGCTTTTGATTCTTCTCCATACATTGGCACATGGGAGAATTGTGACAAATATGTTTTCTATACGTTAAAATAAGCTACTCCATGTGGATGTATGTTTTTTGGGAAAAATTCCTAGTGTAGTAAAAGTTCAATAGTGTAGATTTGTTGCTAGCTGCTTTGTACCTCCATATGTTTAATTCTGTAACTATGACAGCAAATACCATGTAAAAGCTTAAAAGAAGCAGTAACATAAAAATAAATAGATAACAGTACAGTATTGTGAATGAAAAGAATTTGAATGAAAAATATTAGAAATATATTAGAAAAACATTAGAAATATTTTACCAATTAATTTTAATTTTCAAGAACAATTAGGTCTGCATAGTATGCATTGATGGTGAAGACAGATGGATTTGTTATTTTTTAATGTTAATATTTCTAAAACTTATCGTATTGCATGACATCTAAAATACGTGCTGTTATGAAAGTCTGAATTTTAATGCTATCTTTATTCATTTCTGACATTTTTCTTAAAAGATTAATCAACAGTAGCTTTTATATTTGCATTGTCCATAATTTTTAATAGAGAAACGTAATTAGCTTACGCATGGTGTTAAATTCAGATAACAGCAAGTGATACCCAGTTTATACAGTGAACATCCGCAAGGAGACATCACTTTCATTTCCTCTCCTCTCTCCTCACCACTATGTGCTGTCAAATCTGCTTATAAGAATTCCCCAATTGTATGGACCAGATTTTGGAGGTGTGCAGGGATCTGTAGGAAAAGAGGAGTGAGTTCTTCTGCCAGTGCTGGTTTCACTGATGGATGGGCACTGTTGAATACAACCACTGAGTTACTTTGCACATCAATACATTTGTGGTTCTTTTGCCTGAAACCTGCTTTCTTGGACAGTAACTTTTAACTGATGTTTTATTCAAGATATCACAATCATTTACAGTAGTTGGAGTAAAAATGAGTTGTTTCTCTCTCTTTCCTTCATGAACTGAGAAGTATGTTAACATTTTCAATAGATAATGTTTTTCATCAGTATTGTCTAGGAAACTCTTAACTCTTGATCTTTAGATCAAAATTGAAAATTCATCAAGTTGAACTTTTTCCTTTTTTCTTTTGCTTATGCAATGATATCAAAAGCAGTTAGCATACTTGACAGTCTATTTTTTTTCTAATTAAATGTGGTTGGTGGAAGGGAAAAGACTTGTGGAAAACTTAAGAACAGGGTTTGATAAATAACTCTTTCCAGATAAGAATTGCCTTTTGAGCTAGTTCCTTTAGTTCAGATTTTTCAAGAAAGGAGTAAATGCTATAGTCTTATACTTGCTTACCTGAAAAAAAGCTCCATCGAACACACTGGGGCTAATATACTAGATCTGTATAGAGTTGCTTGAAAGTGTTATATTGCTGCCTCTACAGGGGTTTGCATTTTTGAAAAGAGGGACTAAGGTGAACAAACTAAAAACATATCAGTTACTCTGAACTACAGCTTGCCTTTATATTTGGAATTGCTGACATGGTCTATTTAACCAAACAGCAAATGATAATTTAGTTGTAAATTGAGTTAGTATTATAAAGAAATCATGCACACTACATTTGTATTCACAGATTATAGTCTAGTCTACACCTACAAAGCCTCTGTAAGGAAAAACATCCTTTTTCTGTTTTTGGTGTTGACTTATAAGAGTATGGTCTTGATTCAGTGCTTGGAACCTGGTTCAGTTACTGTTTTGGAGTTTAAGACTGACCATAGTAATTGAGGGATTCTGCAACTTGTAGTTGAAAACAGGATGGGAGGATAAAAATTAATTATTTTAAAAATAAAATTGATTTAAATCATGATTTAATTTTTAAAAAATCATTTAAAATATTTAAATAATCAGAAATCCATTATTTAGATCAATTTGATTTAAACTAAATCCACCTTTTCTGTGTTTGGTTCTTTTGACATCATTAGGTATTGTTGGTTCCCAACCTTAGTTGTAAATCTACAGAATTTAAGTTGACAGCGTTAACTATTACCAGAAATACAGCTTAGAGTTGTTTATTATGTAAGAGTACAAAGGAATGAAGGAGCAAATAAAAATACACCCCTCCCCCATAACAGGAAAAGCAAGATGGCATCAGAAAGATAAAGGAAATGGGCTTATAAACTAGTAAAAAATTCAGTTGTTTCACATAAGACAGTGTTATTTAATTAATTTGAATATTACAGATATGATAGTTACTTACGGAGTTTGTGTATTTGACTAAGTTCTTTACTAGTATTGAGGTTTGTTACAAAGATGACAGTAGACTCTTCAGTCTGTCAAATGCTTTGTAAACGCAAGCTTTGGAGTGGAGAACCTTTGGTGTTCCAAATATTTTAGCCTGTAACTCCCGTGAGTCCATCCTGGCATGGCCATTTATAAGAGATTGTGAAGGCTGTAGCTTAAAAAACTGAAGCAGCAGGTGTTCGCCACTTCTGTTCTGGTGTGTGTATCTGTGGACTTAAGAGAGAATAGAAATCAGTATAGTGATATAGTGTAGGTAAAAGTTTGCCTGTTTTTCATTTTCCAGTAATTTCTGTATAGGTTGGTTAAGAACTTTTAGGAAGAATGTTTTTGTCCCAAACATTTTGTCAGATTTTTATTTATAACATTTCCTTTTAGGCTGGGTTTTGTGTGTCTGTGTGTGGTTTTTTGTTTTGTTTTGTTTTGTTTTTTGAAGTTGCATCAAAAGAGATTGGGGGTGGTCAAATGCATAAACTTCAGTTTGAAATGAAAACCGTACTGTTTCAAAAAGAGTGGAGTTATTTTAATCAAGACAATTTGAAATTGTGATGTAAGTCAATAAGAAGGCTCATACTTAAGAATCAAGGTTCCCAATTATACTTTTTAATATAGATACATTTTAATGTATGACTAAGTAGAGCATTATTTATATTTTTATACTTGCAACCAGTCTTTGCATCTCTTTCTTACATTGCATTTATTTTGTGCAATTTTCTTATTCTCTATAAAAAGCATTTAAATGATTGATGCCTTTAAAATATTCCCATAGGGCAGGGATAGAAATTGTGGTCTAGAAGCCACCGTCAATTTAAGGACATTTTTGCAGCTCCCAGGAGCGTCACACCTCTTGTTGAGAAAAGCAGAAATGGGGAGGGGGGAATTAAGCAAATTGCCTCTCTTTGGGGGGGGGAATCCTGTCACCACAAAAACAAAATAGTAAATAAAAATGAAATGTCTTTAAATGATAGGTAAACTTAAGCAGTGATTGTTGTTTTTAAATACCATCAACTTAAAGAAGCTATTTTCCATCAAGGTGAAGATGAATGCTGTGTCTCCCAACTACTGGTATTTGAGAAATAAGAGAATAGAAAGAATAATTGAGTTAGAAGGCAGTCCAATTGCCTGCTCAATGCTCAAATGTTTTTTTTTTAAAATTGCATAGAAAACCTTCCTTTAACGTGGTGAATTGGATAGCAGTATAATTAATTTTAGGATTTATATGTTTATATTCAGGTTACTTACGAGATAGTTATTATTTAAGAGTAACATAGTATTTTCCTTATTTTAGAAATCCTGATTTTCAGAGTTCTCCAAAGTGCATTTGCTTTATTTGTTGCCATTCGCTGACTTATTAGACAGCACATTAACTTTGAAAGATGAATGATCTTCATGGTTAAGCAGACAGATGCACACCATAGTTTGCTGTGTTTTTTAAGAGAAGTGGTTGAGGAGAAGAAAGAGATTGAAACAATGTCTCAACATTACAGGCTAGTGACATTTCTTTTTCAGATTTCATTTTTTTAGGATTTATAGTTCATAGGTGAAATGA